CCTTGATTTACAATCTCACATTATATATTAACATACTTAAAGAGTCCAAATAATTATAGAGATAAATTGGGCAACTATTAAAGTCAATTATAGCAACTATAAAAACTAGTTATGGCATTACAGATATGGCAACTATACATGAAGTCAAAATTAAAACCCCAAGGTTGAAATGTTTCAACTTGAGGCAACTACATAGTAAAATCAGTTTTGACCTTATTTCAACCCTATTTCCACCAGCAAACAACTATAGTCCATCAGTGTAAGATTTTTAACATACTATATTTAGTATTTTATTAATGGCAATGGACCATCCCAAAACTCATTGGTCTCAATGTACCCAGTTTATTTCCAACCCTGAAACAACCAATTAAATTATTTACCATGAGTTTTAGTAGGAAGAACAGCATTGATGATATCTGTTAGGAAGAAAGAAAAACATAGAATGAATTAATAATATTGATTGCTGTCATGTCTTGCTGTTGTGCCATTAATTACAGTTGGTCTTTTTTAGGGTATACCATGTAAATTAATGGGCAATAAATAGAATTGGATAGAAAAATGGTATGAACAGCACCAGATAGAGAAATTAAAAAAAGGAAATTCAAGAATTAAAAAGCTATTAAATGTGGCCAAAAAATAACTGAGCATTTTTAAATATATAAATAGGAACAACAAGTATAGCAGATTATCATCACCAAAAGGACTAATTATCAGTAAATTTTATTCATACTATGAGATTAGATGATAATAAATGTAGTTCTAGGACATAGAAATTTCCTATTCACCCCACAAAAATAATAGTATTACAGTGCTGTGATAACTGGTTTTCCCAATCATAGCAAAAGATGTGAACAAGCTGACAATGCCATTCCTATAAATTAGCAGAGGCACTGGTTAAAACTTGTTTTAATTTAGATAAAGCTAATAAAGCTAATACACAACAAGGCAAGAACTATCCATTGTTACCACTTCTTTGATCTTTAAAGATAATATACACATGCTCACCTATACTGATAATTAACCTAAGTTAGGTAGTAAATTATTTTTCTTTTCTTTTTAGGTTCTTCATGGCTTTGTGTTAATGTTCTTTGATTAGCTATGATTTTTCTTTTCTTAATAAATTTCATAGGTAGATAGTTTTCAAGCATATCTTAATTAGTAATATAGGGAGCAATTTTCTCACCTTGTTCCTTTTTCACAATGCTTCTAATAGTGCTATAATTTTTGGTTCCATAGTAGATCTGATGTAAATCTATTTCACATTAATTATTCTTATAGGAGTAGTTCTATATATCATTGAAGAAAATCAAAGATATTATAAAATCATTAAATCATAATCAACATGGTGATGAACAAATGTTGAGTACACCCCATATAATACCATACTTTATTTAATCATTAGAAACAAAAAAAAATAGAACAAATATAATAAGGAATCAATTATTGCTAGTGTTAGTAAATTAAGCTGTAACAATCCTTAATTATGATTTGGAATTAAAAATCATTTGGATTATATTATTCATTTGAGGAATAGGTTAAATGATAATCTTCCATTAGCAAGGTTTTATCAAAGAAATCTTGATATAAAATGGAAGTTTGTAAAAAGTTGTTTAATTATGAAGCTTACTTCTTTGTTATATTATTTGTAAATGGGACAATATTCAAGAAGATCCAAGAACTAGAAAAAATTAATTTTTCTAAAAAAAAAATATTATACTGGATGTAATCCAGTTTTGTTGGAATTTAATAGGATTTGGTATACAGGCATATTTACCATCATCTTTGTTAATCATATTGTGACTAATAAAATTTTTATTTCGGGTTTGACGATGTAGACTTAAAGATCCTCAATGCGCATTATAAAACAGTGTCAGTGTATTAATATCTAATACTATTCACTTAACAGAAAAATTGTATTTATATAAATTTGTAATAAATAATAGCAAAGAAATTTATTTATTTATTTACAAAAAAAAAAAATTTAAAAAAAAAAGATTAATTACAAATCTTTCTTGATAAATAAATTAATATTGGAAAAATAAAATAATAAAATAATATTAATAAAATAAAAGTATAAATAAGTATTTTAAATAAATACCTTTTATCATATAATTTACTTATAATTAATAAATAATTTCCTTTGTAATTAATTTTTATTGACCAATTAAATAGATCTGTTATCAAATCTATATTGTTGATATTATTGTTATTATGATTGTCCTCATAATAATTGACTTTAATTAAATTTGGTAAATTAGAATTAATTAATTGATTGATTAAATAATTATTGTTATTATTTAAATTTTTACAATTTTCAAAGGTGATGAGTTTCAAGTTTTTGCATTTTGATAAAACTTCAAAAGAATAACAATCTTTAAAATCTACATAATAAAATTCCAAAGTGTTCAATGAATGTGTCTGATTATTTAATGATTCAATAAATAGATGTGTGAAAGTGTGATAATTTGCTAATACGAATCTCCCAAGATTTGATTGAGAAGAAATTAATTTTGCTAATAATTTTGAATTTATTTTGTTGATTTTTAAATTTGAATTATTTGGATTATGATAAAAATTCAAAGTTATTGATTCAAGTGACCTACAATTCTCACTCAACGACTCAATCAATCCATCAATCAACATAGAATCCCATTCGATGCTTAATATTTTAAATTTAAAAAATACTTTTCTAATTGAATGATGCATCAGTAGTTTACAGTTAATTTTCTCTAAATTTCTAAAGTATTCTTCATTAATTGAATAATTTGAAACATTGTTCATCGAGAAATATTTGATTTTTGTTTTGTATTGATAAAATAATTCTAATAATGTTTTGATCATGATTTCATGATTTCTAATTTTATTGTTTTTTGTTTTTTTATTCCATAAAAAAACTGTTTTTAAAAATTTATCAAAATTTAATTCTTTTAAATATTTCGGATATTTGAATAATAATTTACTGTTTCTAATAATTGGATTATTTGCGTTATAGCTACTATTACTAATGTTACTGCTAGCACTACTGATGCTACTACTACTGTTGCTATCGTTTCCTAATATTAATTCACCCTCTTCATCCTCCAATCTAATGCCTTCTTTAATCAATTGCAACTTCTTTTCTTTTTTTAAACATTTTAAATATATCGTAATTACTTTATAGCTTAATGTTGTCTGAATTGAATAAAATATCGATGACCAAAGTATTGGTATTCCAATCTTACACCATGATCTATTCACTAATATACACGAATATAAATCATGGAAATTTTCTTTTCTACGGTAATTTCCTCTAAATCCATAAATATTTTTGAGTATTTTTCTAATAATTTTTGATGATAATTGATTAATGGTTGTTGTCATATTATTTTATTACTTTTTGTTTTTATTACTTTTTATTATTTCTATTATTATTTATTTATTTATTTTTTTTTAGAAAAAAAATCCCCATTTATAATTCCGCGATTTACCAAAAATTTACTTTTTTGCATAAAACAAACAAACTAATCATTTTTGTGTATATAGTAATATTTAATATTAATACAGTCAGGTCTTTTGATCGGTCTTGCAGATCTTCTAATTCCCTAAAAAATACATATAATTAAAGCCAAGACCTTTCTCTACAATTCTATGGTTTCAATTTTTCGAAATTTTCTCATATGTGGGTTTCAAATTCACATGGTCACGCTATCATCAACAAAAAATAAAATTTGAAAGGCATTGTCTCAATATACAGGTAAACTTGATAAGTCGGATATGAATGTCTGGGCATGGTGACTTATCAAAGAAATCCGAATTATCAAAAACACGCCTGATGTGAAATAAAAACCGGCCAAAAAAAAATTTCAGACGATTCTCAAAATTAGAGCTTTATCAAAAAAATCTAATGTCGATATCTCCCGATAAAATTAACGAGATCTTAAAATTTTATTTAAACAATTAAAAATCATCTTTATTATTATTGTCCAACTTGCAATAGATATAAACTAAGAACTTATTGTTACAAAGATTCAAATCGTTTTTTTATTTCAAGCAAATACCAAATTTAAAATGGTAAGGTTTATTTTTTAAAAAATCATGCGTTGCTATCTGACTTACAGGATATATTGTCCAACTTATTATTATCAAAATGGCTGAAAAATATTGTCCAAGTTAGGCCAAGTCTGATTTATTGAGTGACCAACTTCATCAAGTTTATTTGTGTATAATGGTTTTTTCTCTTTTGTTTCATCAATAAAAGTACAAAGACAATCTTAAGCTCAAATTCAAATTCAAGAGACAAACTCTTAACGGAATTGTCGGAAAACAAGTTGTTATGAGTGGATAAAGAGCTAATTCTCCCTTCCCTTGGTGTACCTTACCATATTATCTTGGAAGCTAATCTCTGCATCTGTAACAATATCCAATTCAATTATTCCAAAAAAAATAACTTTTTTTATTATACTGTGAGATATGGCCTAAATTTTGTGCAAACTTTAAAAGCATAGAACTCAAGAACTACTATATTTTTTAAAAATTTAACTCCATTAGTTGATATATAAGATCTCTCCCTAGCTTTAATGTAATGGAGAGATTTTTCAAAAAAATTTACGAGTCTTATCCCATGTATTTTACTTGCCAAAATTAGTATTAGAATAATATATTTGTATATCATTCCAGATTTGGACAGCCCAATTTAAATCAATGCAGCTAAAAAAATATAAACCACACTGACGTATCCCTTTTATCTATTTAAAATTCACGTGATTTCTATATTTAGAAAAATTCCAATTTTTTTTTGATTTTAAATAAATTTACCAAAAACGTTCAAAACAAAAGCCTTTCTTTATTAGATTTAGTTAGTTTCATCTTTTAACCAAATCGAGTAAAATTTGTTGTGTAATTTGCTAGAATAAACTAGATTCAAACTGGTATTTCAAAAAAAATTTTTTTTGTTTAAATTTACTTAATTAATCAATATAATAATTCAATAAATATTATCTCCATGAACTGATCCATTTGTTCTACTCAACGTTGCAATTTCTATGATCAAATTCTGTATTATCATGTTCAATAATTTCAGCAGCTAGGAATGGGAACAGAAACCTCAATTTCCAACAAAGTTCTTTGCCATCTATATCAATCAATTCATCAAATGTTAACTGATTTTGATTTGTTTCAGCTGTTGCATGTAATTCTTCTTCCTCTCTCAATTATAGAAACTTCCTCTTCTTCTACTTGAATGAAAATAAATTTATCTCATTTTTACTCTACTGCTAGCACTATTACTAATGAAAAGGGATTTAATGTGGTGTGGCAGTACACTTAATAGTATGGAACGTCAAAATAATTTGGTTTTGGATTTTATATAATTTGGGGATGCCCATAAATTTCATCCTTTGCCCAAATTTAATTTATGCATTTTGATTTCATAGTCACAAATGATTTGGGATTTGGGCGGCATACATATATACATTTGTTAAGATCATACTAACAATGATAATCTATTTAAAATTACATTTCAATTTTCAACATAAAGAAGAATAGTGGTTATAGTGATAATGTAATAATAAGAAATAAGTGTATATAAAAAAAGGATTTATTTAACTTCTTCCAATTCAACTAAAACACCACCACAATCTTTTGGGTGTAGGAATATAACCGGATTCCCATGCGCACCGATCTTTGGTTCAGGATCTAATGCTCTTACACCTTTTTCTGTCAATTCTTTAACTGCTTCTGTGACATTGTTAACCTTTATAATAACAATAATAATTGAATTTAGAATAATAATAATAATAAATAAATAAATATATGTGTGTGTGTGTGTTGTTATGATGCGGTATGCATTTGATTACCTCAATACAAACATGGTGAATTCCACCATTTTTATTTTTTTCTAAAAAATTTTGAATTGGTGATTTATCACCATAAGGATGTAATAATTCAATTTTTGTATTTCCTAAACTCACAAATACTGTGTAAACACCATGCTCTGGTTGTTCCTAATAAAATATGAAATAAGAGAATGTATATGCGTGTATATATGTGTGTGTGTGTGTGTGATTTGTTGTTCAAAAATTATTATTGCTATATTTACCACAGCTTCGCTAACTTCTTTTGCCCTTAAAATATTTTTATAAAAATCTATAGCCTTTTCTAGGTTTGGAACTGCAATTGCAACATGATTCAATTTACCTAATTCCCATAATTTCTAAAAAACGAAATATAGTTATGCAAAAATTGAATTGTCAACAAAATAAGTTATTTTACATTTACATATATACCGAAGGTAATTTCATATAATTCCTCCTATTATTGTTACTAATGTTATCTTTTTGTTTTATTGTTGTCGTTATGGTTGTTGGCGGTGATGAAAAAGAAGAAATTTTCGTTAAATTATTTTTAAACAAGGAAGAATAAATTCTGAGTAAAGACATTTTTCTTTTTTCAAAAAAATTATTTTTTTGATAAATCGGATAATCATGGCAATTTAGAAAAAAATATATATAATTATTATGCAATAATTGAAATTTTTTAATATTTTAATATTATTTTAATCCAATACATTACAAAAAAAAATTTTGAATTATTAAAATATCCACTATATGTATGCAAATGTACATCTCGATTATTTAATTATTTTAATTCCTTAATCAACTTCTTCCATCCTTGAAACCTCTTCAATCACATTCGCATCAGGCGACTCTTCGATTTCCATGGACTCGTCACCCTCATTACCACTACCACCAACAATATCAAGTCCAAGTTTAATCATTTCATAAATTCTATTAGCAAACAATGATGGTTCTTCCAAACTAAAGCCTGATTGTAGAAGTGATGTCTCAAATAAAAGCCATGTAAGATCTTTGACTAACTTTTCATTATTATTATCTACTTCAAAATTGTTTTTGAGTGTTTTGATGATTGGATGATGTGGATTAATTTCCATTATTTTCTTTGATACGATAAATGACGAGATATTTGGATTTCTAAGTGTTTGAGCTTTTATAACTCTTTCAAAATTAGCTGTCCACCCATACTGCCCTGTCACAAGTACACAAGGTGACTCTGAAATGCGATTCGAAACAACTACCTATATAAATATAAATAAACAAATAAATATGTATGTATTAGTATACATACATAATGGTGAAAATTATGATAAATAATTTTGTATAAAAAAAAAAGAATCCGCAGAAATCATAGTAAACATTACCTTTTCAACTTTGTCACCAAGAATCTTTTTGATTTGTTTACACACATTTTCAAACCGTTTAGCCAATTCTTCATGCTTATTCTTTTCCACCTCGTCTTCGTCAAATTCTAATCCTTCCTTAGTGACACAGACAAGTTTTTTACCATCATACTCTTTGAGTTGCAGCATACAATATTCATCGATCGGATCTGTCATTAGCAACACTTCATAACCTTTATTCTTAAGAACTTCAACAAATGGCGATTTTTCGACTGCCTGACGATTTTCACCAGTGATATAATAAATGACCTTTTGTTTATTTGGCATTCTTGTAACATAGTCCTTCAATGATGTCATTTCGTCAGAAAATTTGGTTGAATAGTAACAAAGAAACTCTGCTAGTTTGGCTTGATTCTGTGGATCATCATGAATACCGAGTTTGATATTCTTGGAAAAAGAATCATAAAATTTGGCAAAATTTTCTTTATTTTCCGCAATCTCATTAATTAATCCCAAGCTTTTTTTGACAAGATTCCTATTGATGGCCTTAATTATCTTGTTTTTTTGAAGCATTTCACGAGAGATGTTAAGTGGTAGATCTTCAGAATCTACTATGCCCTTGACAAAGTTAAGATATTCAGGCATCAAATCTTCGCAATTATCAGTGATGAATACACGTCTCACATAAAGTTTGATATTATTTCTTGTTCTTTTGTTTTCGAAAAGATCAAATGTTGGACGTCTAGGAATAAAAAGAATCGCTTTAAATTCAAGTTGACCTTCGATGGAGAAATGCTTAAAAGCCAAATGATCTTCCCAATCATTAGTAATGGATTTGTAGAAAGCAGCATATTCTTCATTGGTAATAACTTCAGGATTACGAGTCCAAATCGGTTTGATTCTGTTTATTTCTTCGACTTCTTTAACGATCTCTTTGATCCGATTCTTTTTCTTTTCTTCTCTCTCTATAAATTCAACCTCTTTTTCAACTTCTTTTTCAACAACAAGTTGAATTGGATGTCCAATAAATTCAGAATGTTTCTTGACAACTTCTTTAATTTTATGTTCATCCAAATATTCAAGTTGATCGTCCTTGAGAAACAATCTAACCACAGTACCACGATCGAGAGGTGAATTAAAAGTGTCACGTACAATGGAGAAACACCCACCAGCAGCTGATTCCCAAATGTATTGCTCATCGTCATTGTGTTTGGTAATTACTTGAACTCGGCCAGCAACCAAGAATGCAGAATAAAAACCGACTCCAAATTGACCAATCATAGATATATCAGCTCCAGTTTGAAGTGCTTCCATAAAGGCCTTAGTACCTGATTTAGCAATTGTACCGAGACTACTAACAAGTTCTGACTATACGATAGCAATGATAATTATATGATATAAAGCAAACAAAATAAACAAATAATTTTTTCTTTCGTATTATACCAAAAAATTAATTTAATAATATATATGTTATCGCACCTTTGTCATTCCAATACCAGTGTCTCTTATAGATAAAGTTTTGTTTTCTTTATCGGAAAAGATTCTAATGTAAAGTTCATTTACAGCCTCAAGTTTTGAAGGATCAGTAAGAGATTCATATCTAATCTTGTCCAAAGCGTCAGATGCATTTGAGATCAATTCACGAAGGAAAATACTATATAACAATAAATAAATATATAAAAAATTTATTTTCAATTATTTTTTAGGAGGGTTCCTTTTTGATAAATAATATTAAAAAAAAAAAAAGTACTCTTTATTCGAGTAAAAAGTGTTGATAATAATAGACATAAGTTGAGTAATTTCAGCTTGGAACGCAAATTGTTCGACTTCGGCCATTTTTTTCAATTCTTTGGTTTTTTTTAAATATGTATATAATAAATGTATATATAAAAATTATTTATGAAAAAGTGAAAAAAGAATTTTGAAGATAATAAAAGAGTTTGCTAATTTTCAAAATAATTTAATCATATTAATAATGGTATTGTTTGGAATCTTCTAGTAATAATTTTGTAATTTTGTAGTAAAGGAGGAGCTGATATTAAATTTATGACATTAAGATCAACAAAATCTGTTTACAAATCGCATTTTCCTTGATCAAGCACCACCCTGTATGGGATTCACAAAAAATTACAGGGATCGATTTGACTCGCGTTAAAATTCTTTCGCTTCAAAGAACAATTTATTTTAGCGCTCAATCTCAGTAGGAGTAAAAGAATTATAAATAGGCAAAGAAATTAATTATATTAACAATATCAAAAAATCAGCCATAACTCTTGTTAATGTTTTATAATATTTAATATTTAAATATTTATATTAATAAAACTGTTATGCATTTTTCTCAAAATAAATAAAACATGACTTATTTTTTGATCCTTTTCTTGTATGTGAATGAACACCTTGGTGGAAAATGTTTATAATGATTTCGTGATATATTCTGTATATTATTATTTGAAATATTTTTTCTTAAATAAAAAAATAAATGAATAATATTAATTAAATCAAACATATTGAGTTTAGGTATCAGGTTTAATGAAACCGTCATTTTCATGCCTACGAAAGTACCTTCCCCGTTATCCTTTGTAGTGATACTTTAGGAATAATGAACTCTGAACGTAGGAGAGGCTTCAATTAGTGATGGGCGTTAGCATTTATAACAGCTATACGCCTGCTTAAACTAACTTCTATTATTCAGGAAAAATGATTAATATAATGTATCAATTTATGAGTCCAAATGCTTTACTTACCTAACAGCCCAAGCACAAATCTAATTTTACGAAGATAGGAATATCCCGCCTCGCTTATTATGTAATAGAATCTAAATACAATATAGAATAATTACATAATAGTAAATTTCCGAAATTAGTATTTAAATGTTTAATAAAATGAACGAATATTTCAGGCCTTGTTTGATTGTTACGCTTGACGATCATAACTATTTATGGAATGTAATCAAATAGATCACACGCGTATCGAGTACACATGATTTTCTAGAAATTCTAGGTAAAGAAAATATTCACTTGTTGGTAAACTTTTAAATGTTCATGATGCACTAGACGAAAAAAATTCAAAATAATAAACAAATAAAAGAATTGGTGCAATTAATTGGCCCAATAGATAACTTGCGTTATGGTAAAATGATGATAATTGTTGATCAAAGCCTTGATGAAAGGGCTTAATCGTCAATTTTTTCACTCATCATCGTTAAAACAATCAGGCTTCTTCAAGAGTTTATTGCACCAATCATAAATCGCAAAAAAAATTTTGTCATTCTTTACATTACCAAAATTTGAGGAATAGAAACATCAGTATGATAATAGAAATGGGTATAAAAAAATTCTTGTAAATTTTCCAACCAATGGATGAAGAGGAACTTAGATGCACTGATTTGCAAATGTACATTGAAAAGAGAGGTGATGAAATAACAATAAAGGTTTATATAAATAAGTATTTTCGCTGTATAATAATGTTTGTTCAATTCCTTCGGTTATAGATGGTTTGAAACCTAGTCAAAGAAAGGTTTTATCAAAAGAAATTTGGTTAAAAGACATATTAAAGTATTACAACTAGCTGGTTATATTTCTGAGGATACTGCATTCCATCACGGTGAAACTAGTCTTCACTCTACTATAGTCAATCTTGCCCAAGATTTTATAGACACCAACTATTAATTTATTAGAACCTATGGAACAGTTTGGTAATAGAAATGATGGTGGTAAAAGCGCAACAAGTGCTCTTTATATTAATACCAAGCTCTTTTCATTTGCAAGATTAATACATAATCCAAACGATGTTATATTACTAAACTTTCTAAATGAAAATGGACAACAAAATTCGATGCTCACATTATCCCAATGGTTTAGTTAACCAAAGAGATTATCTAGAATTTGAGAAGAAAAATTATGGGAGAAAATGATCTCGATGTCATGGGAAAATTAAAAGGCAAGTTAATATTATGAAAATTCTAATAAAATTCATTCATATGAAAATTGATGGTCAAATGAAATTATTTGAATCTTTTTAATTTGACAAAATATACAACGATGAGCCACAAACACAATCTGATGATGTTGATGTTCCTGATGAAAGCTTCAAAGGGTATGATTGATTCTCTTGTGTTGATTTAAAGGATTGGAAACTCTGAAGAAAAAATGCAAACCCTACAACAAAAAAAAAGAAAATTTTAGAATTCAAGAAAAGGTAGTGCAGAAACTAGAGCAAACTTTACACAAAATCATCGAATATTTATGCCAAACAAGTTAATAAGCAGCAGTGGATGGAAAAGAATATTTTGCCTCTCTGGAAAATTAAATTGACAGCATCAGTTACTCTGCTTTTTTACTATTTATGGGAGAAAAATTTAATCAAAAATTAGCACAAAGGTAAGAAATTAACAGGTCGATTTAATAAACAAAAACACGAAACTTATAACAATCCCGTAATAAAAAACTTGGCAGGAGAATTTCTTATTGTCTGCTTTAAAAATATTGAAAAGATCAAGCCTTAGAGTAAGGTTTGCTACCAGTTTTGGAATAAAGCAAAACACTGAACTATTTAATAAGGAAGTAGATTGTCAAACTTTATTCTTTTTGCTGCTATTTCTACCTGCGAAACTGAAAAATCATCAGACTCTTTACTTTCTTGTTTAGGTTGAATTAAAGCTGATGATACTGCTCAACCAAAAAAAAATATTCTTATTATTGGTTTTTGTTTTAAATTTTCTTGATTTGGTTTTATTGGCTTTGTTGCTGGCTCGAAAAAGTGTAAGAGTGTATATGTAAAATATGCATTTAGAATAAATGATAATTTCCTAACACCAAAAAGTATTATTGGTGTATATACAATTGTGATTTAAATTTTTAGAGATCAAATTAAAACGTTCAATTTAGCTGGTTTAATAATATTAATAATTTTTTAATATTTTATATTTTATTTAAAATTCTAAATAATAACAATGATAATAATAATATAATATATATAATGATGATGGATTGATTTTTTATATAATTAACATGTATATATATGTGTGTGTGTGCGTGTGTAAATAAAAAAATTAAAAAATTATATTATAATGAATGGTTTACAATTGAAAAAATGAATATTTTTTTTGGACAAATATTAAAATTTAAAGTGAAAAAGTTTTTTTAAAGAAAAAGTCCCATGAAAATAAAATAAAATAAAAACCAGTAAATTCTTTAACATTATTAATAATTATTAGTTGATAAGAGAGGGACCATTCCCTTTCATCACTGTAGCTTTATAATCTTCAGCTGTCATTTTATGTCTCGCTCTGATGAACATGGGACCGTCATTTTGTTGAACTAGAATAAAAGAAAAAAAAAATCAAAGATTAAGATCATTATCATCATCATCGTCATTATATAGAAAGTAAAAAAGAATTACCATTATTTATAAAATCATCAGTTGATTTTAAAAACGTCGATGTTCTATTATTATTCCTGCTATTTCTAATATTATGATTATTTTTACTATTGTTTCTACCTTTATTTCTTTGATCCGCAACAGCATAATGTGATTGATTCATCCAATAAAGCAATCTACTTGGACTACTCAATACGCCAGTTGTCTCAACCCTAGTCATCCATTCCAAAGCTGCCTTGTCAGATGTTCTTGTGACAATACGATCAAATATTTTTGAATTATTGTTACTACCACTCTTATTATTATTGCTGCTGTTAACGTATGATAATTTAGGAGAGTATTTTGAAGGATCAACGATATTTATAATATCATCATTATCATGACTAATAGTAATACTTCTTTTATCATTACTATAATAATTACCACCATCGTTATTAATATCATTGACATCATCAGAAGATAAAAATAACAAGTTTGAAATAACATTACTCAAATATTTTTCAAAAAATTCTATAAATATTATATAAAAATATTCGAAATTTTCATTAGAAATTCCAAAATAAAGTGAGTCGTTGAATTGTTTAATAATCTTTAGATCATATATTTGTTGTGGTATCAATTTTTTATTGTTTATTATTATTGATGGGAGAAATCGAGAGATCGTCGATGATAACGATGATAATTTTTGTTGTTGATTTTTTTTTTTATCAGCAAATAAAATAGTGTGTGCACGATCGTCCACATACAAATTATACCAAGCACCTGGTTGCAGTTGATGTTCAACAGGATCAAACAATTTTTCGTTTAGTACCAAGTTCATATGGATTGGTTGATGAGGTGGTGGTAGTTGTGAGTAGGTGGAGAGAGTGCCATTATTTTCCCAAAACGTCGATGATGATGTCTGTAATACTTGTTGTTCTGAATCAGAAGAAAATTTGTAACGACCAAGGAAAAATGAAATCAAAAAGGTAGGTATGTTGTTCCAACTTAAACGAGGCCAATAATAACCGGTGACTTTTGATCTCCATGATTGACCGGTGGTTATATAGTTGATGTAGACACAACTACTGTTCAAACAATGTTTATCCTTCTCCTCGCCAGCATACCTCATCCTAGCACCTTCAACCGACCAATCCACCAAAAAATTATCACCAAAATAAGCAAATCGACTGCGAGCAGAAATGGCACTCCATATTGATTGTTCGCCGCCATCACATCCTCTCCTTCTCAAATTCCATTTATCACTCAACAGCTGGAATGAGAAAAAACGCTCCAAACAAGCAAAATAGCAAATTAAATGAACCATCGATAAGATAAATTGAAGGATGCTAAGTGGATGGACGATACACTTTGAGCCAGGTTCAAGACCAAGTAAGTAAGGGAGAGTCGAGCCACGATGAGGGGCTGATAAACAAATTATGGCTTTTATCCACGTTCCTGAAGTGTTTTGGCCAAAGAAATTTGTTTCTAAAAGATGTTGAAGATGAAGTGCTGTTGTTGCGCCATATCCTTTACCTGCAATCAATAGATTTTAAGAATCGATGTAGTGTGAATGAAAGTTACGTTGATTTTATTTTTTTGTAGAGTTGAAAAAGATGGTTAAATTAATTATTATTACATTACCAATTAAAACGATTGGATTTTCAGCATCCCAATCAGGAATTACACCATCATATGTTTGACCTAATTGCTTATGACAAAATCGATGAGAATGAGAGAGTCCATAGTCCTAATTTCAATATGATAAATATAATATTAGCATTAGCACTATTACTGATTACAAAATTATCATAAACATTACGCAAAATGACAAATGACACTTACAACTTGACCACCCTTCAATTGATAAAAAATTTCAACCGCTCTATCATGAACGGACTATAAAAATAAATAAAATTAAATTATGAAAATCTGTCAAAAAAATATCAATTCCATTCTATGTGCCTAATCTAATTCAGATTCTAATTTGAATTTTAATTCAAGTAAAAAAAAAAAAAAAACTGATCCAAATTTTTTATCTATAACTTACACCAAGAGGACTTGGTTTAACGATAATTGGATCTTCGACGATTTCTTTGACATCGCTCCAATAATCAGCAATTGTATAGTTTTTTCCACCTGGTAAATTTATCTCGATAGTATCAAAGCCCCATAAGCCGGATATTAAAACAAATGTGTCTTTATCTTCACCCTCAAAATTCAACGATATATCTTCCTCCACCTCCACCTCCGCTTCAACTTCGGCCATTTTCTCTATTGAAGCGGAAGTTGTTTCAAATGTATTCTTCGTTGTTGTTTCTATTGGAGTTGCGCCATAAACAAATGAACCATTGACGGTTTGGTCAACTTCTGCTGAGTATAAGTCATCATCTTGGAATATACTCGCAGTATTTGAATTATTGTTGTTGTTATTATTATTATTGCTGTTATTGTTGCTGTTGTTGTTGTTGTTGTTGTTGTTGTTGTTTTGTTTGGAAAGTAGAGATTGGAAAAACATTTTGTTTGAATTTTATTATTTATTTTGAAGAAAAATATGTTTTTTATAAAAAATATTTTTTTATTTTAAAAAAAAAATCTTTATCTCTTTATTGGTGGTGTGTATTTTTATATAATATAATATAATAATTATTATTATAATTTTGTATTATATATATAATTGTTGTATATTATTGTTGTTTTATTGTTAAATTTTACTGATTGAGAGAGAAAAAAAGGGTCTTCTTATATTGTTATATTTATTTATAATAAATATAATGGATGATTGATTGAATTGTGGTTGATGATTGAATTGAGAATGAGCGCGAGAGTGAGAGTGAGGGTGAGGATTGGAGCGAGCGAGATTAATTGATTGATGGATAAATTTTTCGTTGTTTGGTACACAATAAAAACATACAACCGTAAATAAAATGTTAAAAAATAATGAGATTAGTAAATATATAACAGATGAATATTTTTTTTAAAAAAGTTTTTTAAAAAAAAAATAAGAATTTTATATTGTTAAATAAATTATAATTGCATGATTCATAACCAAAGAAAGAAATAAACAGGAAAAAAGTTAAAAGGTGATAATCAGAAAAAATTGTTTTTTTACATGTGGCGTTTGATTTATGCATAAAAATCAAAAAATATGCGCAATTAAATTGCTCTCGTTTTACTCGTTTTTTTTTTAAATATTTTTAGATAATAAATAATAATTTTTTTTTAGCTTACCATATATAATAAATATCATGTATGTAAGTTGTATACATGTATATAAGGATGTAAAGACGTTGTTCGCAAAGAAGAAAAATAATATACAAGCGAAAGAACAAAGGGAAATAAAGAGGATGACGATTAAAAATGATTTACGGATGGAAAGTTAGAAAAAGAGAAGAAGGATGATGGTGTGTATAATGGGCGAAGAGAAAGTGAAGAAGATAAAGAAGAAGTTTCACAAATACTACACCAAAATAAAAAGATAATAATAAAACTTTAAAAAACTTGTT